GCTACTCGTCTTCCAGGATGGTGACCGCGTGATCCTCACTGTGCCTGGTTGGAGACACTACAAGATATGGCTGCCAACCGATGTCAGTGGCGTTCTTATTGCCAGTTTCTTACCAGGTTGCCTGAGTGAATGTCTGGAGGCATAGGCACCTCGGAATGATTGTGTTAAGCTAGCACTAAGTCCCTTCCCCGCCCACCTTTATTCTTTTCTCCACAATAAGCCTTTCAAATAAATAACGGTTGTACGTCAGTGAAGCATCAGTGTTGAACACTGATGTCATGCCGTCGATGACGATGATGATGATGATAATATAAAGGACGGCCGTGAAGCGTAGGAGAGCCACAGACCGTTAAATCTCAAAGCTTTGCATGCCTGCGTGGATAGCCGCATTTCAGACAGTTCTTTCGAGTGCCAGATGCTTTTATGATCTGCAAAGGATGTTTCAGTTTTCCAAACTTGCCCGAAGGGTGCCACAGAAGACGTTCCCGATTTCGAAGTCCATTCTCAGTCTGACCGTCGATTTGGGATGCGAGTTTCGGCCGCCCAGCCAGCGGAGGTTCACTGAACTCCAGCTTTGCGAAAGACTTGGGTGCTTCAGATCCGGTCATCCCATCTTATCTGCAGGATTTTGAGTTGGAAGTTAAATCGGTCAGAAACTCCTAGACCATTCGTTTATATGGCATTCAGATTACCCTGGCTTGCGTAGTAACGAAAACAGTTGTAGTCCTGTTTCTATGCTCAATTGATGATCATGCTGAAGACGTTTCTCAGGGCGGCCAAATGCCTTGATGAGTTTTGTAATTCCTGCGTCTACCCCATGATCAGTTCTGAAGAGGGTGTGCTGCCACCAGCATTACGAAATCCCGCGTGGCATGCCACCTTGAAACAACTCAGTTGAATGCTTGATAGTTTACGTAGAACTGCTGGCGCTCGCGCATACAAGATAAATGATCCACAAAAATCCACAATCAAAGCCAAGGAAGGTGCTGCTAAACCGCAAAACCGTAGCTAGTCATCGTAATTTCGCTTCAGAATGTAAAAATAAGGCACAGTAGTCCACAGGCCTCAGTCAAGCAGCAGTGTCTCTCTCTCTCAGAGAGAATTCCCTCGACTTGAACAAATAGCTATCTAGCCTTCATTGAATCGATATACGAATGTTGCAACGGTGGAGTGCCACCCCACGGATGGTTGGTGACAAACACAACCATGTCTCATTCTGGTATCGATCTTGAAATCGGCCGGGAAGCTAGCGCAGATCTTTACCTGGGCCTGCTTTTCAGTGTGAGACGCTTCTTGAGGTTGACAAAATTGTCCGAACAGTTGCTAGACGTCCCAGCGTTCCTGTTCTGACTGGGTCAGAGGCTTTGGCGAAGTCAAGAACGCTCTACAATGCGGTTGGCTCATCCCAGTCCAGTCTTTTGGCTTACAAGCCACGCACAAAAGTGCAGTGTTCCCAGCTGCTACAACTTTTTACGCCAAGACTAAGGAGAATATGCGAGTGAGGACCGCGTGCTGGATACGATGGTCCAATCCATTCATTGGCGACACATGGATCTGTTTGTCCAGTGTAACAGTGTAACACCGAAGTCGATAGCTTTGATGCCACCATTGACAGCGTCGCACAGATATCTCTATCAGGATCACTACTTGTTTACCTCTTCATGAGGACAGCAGTTACAAAGGCGTTGACTAGTAATGGTGCTCATGTTTCGTTGTTAAATCATGGACCGATCGGCCCCGGATCGTATCCATCTGATACGAGGCTGCCAAATAGGTAATCTGTGAAGAGGAACCAGCTGATCTATTCAGACATTCCGTTCATGAGAGTTTGGAAAATTCTCAATCAGCTGAACTTTGTCCACTTGGAAATCCATACCTCCTCATGTCGTCGGGATCCAATAAAATTTGTTACCATAGCCAGCCTCTGGTGTGGCTTTCTAATACGGCTGCGCATCAGCCTACTGCCCAGTGGAGCAATCATGTGGAACAGAGCCGTGCGATTATACCCCCACGTCTGAATCACGTCCGATTTCATCATGTGCCGGAGAAAGGTCCAATAGGGACCAGAAAGTTCACACCCACTCCATGGCCAAGGTACCCCGTACGCGCATAGACGGCCATCTATGGTCAACCGAGAACCAGTGTGGGTGTGTAGCAGACACACTGGTTGGTTGACAGCGGATCGCCCATCAAATACGGTGACAAGTGAATCATATATATATATATAATAACCCAGTAGCGTCAGGGCAGGTGAAGTGACACAACACTTTCCTGGTCAGCAAGTTGGATCAGTGAGGTCCAACCTATGGGGTTGGAGTAGTTCTACAACACCAGTAGTTCGCCTTTTAGTCCCATTCCCTCTTTCCTTATCCAGAGAAGTCCTCACGTTCCACAGGATTCACGGTAGGTGTCCAGTGGTCTTTTTTTGCTAAGTTTAGAATTAAAGAACTGTTTCGATCAATCTAACCACAGCCTCTGACTTTAAGGCCAAAGTCACAGGGTGATGCTAACTGACCTATAGCAAAGATTCATGAGATAGTACATGGAAGCCCGACTCCTCAAAGCACTGCATACAACAGGTGCCCTCCGAACAGCACCGGACTTTTTATATTTCGGCCGTATTAAGTAACGGAATGAGAGCCATTGTCAGCTATTGGGTGCTCGAATTTTGCAGATATTAGGGTCAAACTCTTCTAACCTGTCCTTGCAAACTCTGCTGTCCTTCCGTTTTGGATGCCAGCCATTTTTAAATATATATAGAAATACAAATAACACGATGATTAGTCATTTTAAGCCCATCCTCTGCGGTCAGAAGGCTTGAAAGGTCACTCTGCGGTTGTTTTGGCTTTATTGATTGGTTGCTTTTGTTAGCCGCGCTGTATAATGCATCTCTTTGGGCGGGTGAGAGTATACGAGATGAATTTATCCGGCGACCTTGTTATTTCCTCTACATTTTTCAAACATGATATATATATATATATATGTATATATATATCGTAAACTGTGTGTGGCTAGGTGCTGACCCGAGAACAATCAGTTTGTTCAGTAACGAAGCGGTATTCATCAGAGAATAGAAACTCAGTTGGCCAGCTGTTTATACACAAACCCGTTCTCCATTCCCTCTTTCCTTATCCAGAGAAGTCCTCACGTTCCACAGGATTCACGGTAGGTGTCCAGTGGTCTTTTTTTGCTAAGTTTAGAATTAAAGAACTGTTTCGATCAATCTAACCACAGCCTCTGACTTTAAGGCCAAAGTCACAGGGTGATGCTAACTGACCTATAGCAAAGATTCATGAGATAGTACATGGAAGCCCGACTCCTCAAAGCACTGCATACAACAGGTGCCCTCCGAACAGCACCGGACTTTTTATATTTCGGCCGTATTAAGTAACGGAATGAGAGCCATTGTCAGCTATCGGGTGCTCGAATTTTGCAGATATTAGGGTCAAACTCTTCTAACCTGTCCTTCCGTTTTGGATGCCAGCCATTTTTAAATATATATAGAAATACAAATAACACGATGATTAGTCATTTTAAGCCCATCCTCTGCGGTCAGAAGGCTTGAAAGGTCACTCTGCGGTTGTTTTGGCTTTATTGATTGGTTGCTTTTGTTAGCCGCGCTGTATAATGCATCTCTTTGGGCGGGTGAGAGTATACGAGATGAATTTATCCGGCGACCTTGTTATTTCCTCTACATTTTTCAAACATGATATATATATATATATGTATATATATTATCGTAAACGTGTGTGGCTAGGTGCTGACCCGAGAACAATCAGTTTGTTCAGTAACGAAGCGGTATTCATCAGAGAATAGCAACTCAGTTGGACAGCTGTTTATCCAAAAACCCGTTCTCTTAAGGATGATCGGAGACGAGACTGTGCTGAAAACCGAATCCCCTCCATTCTCGGTGGGATCATTAACTCCAGCTTTACTTAGAGCACCAGTTTCTGAGTCAAATTTTCCAGCCGAATAAAATGTTTCCGCGCTCACGGTCTGCTCCATTCTCCCAATCCTCAAATGTAAAAGTGGAAAGAAGTGAATACTTCATCAACCATATACGGCCAGAGCCACCTTCTATGAATCAAGGCATAGATTTTTCTGGCCAAATCTTGTCGCTATTGGGGCATTTCTGCTGCAGGTAGTATATAAGTAGTATATATAAGTAGCATATACAAGTGGTAGTATATAAGCAGTATATAAGTAATAAATATATAAGTAGTAAATGTGGATAGAGCCAAGACGTTTGAGGACGACTTCACTTCTTAAGAAGCTCAGCGAATCTTTCTTCGGTCATTCACGAGTTGTGCAACCAAGTCCAGGATCAACTATTGATTTTGATTCATACTGTTGAAAAGATTAAAGTTTAGTATTCTTGTGGATAATGATGTGATTCCCTCTTTTGTCTGAGACAAGTTTAGTTCAGCACATACATAAAAGTCATCTTGAATAAGTATCAGAACAGAGAAAGTTCCTTTAACAACAAACATCAGTATGGAAGAATCTCCTACCATAAAAATGAATAAAACGTATTCCCAGTTGATGTCTGCGTATCTGAGGTCACATGAACTCGAAGGAACTGTAGACATGTTGCAAGAGTCAAGGGATGTTGGTAGTGTGAAGAGGTTTTGGAAATAGAGTCTTGATTTTCCCCTGTGACCGAGTTCCATCTATGCTGAATGGCCGAGAAGCGTTGTACGGCTGCCTCGTTCTTGTTAGAAGTCATCAGTAGCGCGCATCTCACGAAGCCTCGGGAAGTTTCGAACTGCCGGCTAAAAGTTTGAACAATAAACCCTTTGGCCACGAGCGGCTGATCAGCAGTGTGATTGATCAAGTGTTAGACAGAATATAGCACCGGAGCTCTCTGGACTTCCGCACCACCATTGATGATTCCCGATGAGGATCAAACAGCTGTGTCGTGCTCTTCAGCATAGATTGGCCTAACTTACAGGACCGAATCTCCATTGCAGTCAGGGAGTTTTTCCTTTTCGAAGCGTGTGGTCATGCCTCAGTCATGACCAATTCGAAAACATTTACGATAGAGTTCAAGTCTCCCGTAAACACGAGACCGATTTGGCAGTCTTTAATAAAGAATCGATCTTTATGTTGCATGACCTTGTTCTCAAAGCGATTCCGAACGAACTGAACTGACTTGAAAAAGGTTTGTTTAACAGAGATCGAGAAGAAACCTGCTTACTCTGTAAGTCACAGAGAACGAGCCACTTCCCATAAATTACCCCAGTTTGGCACTTTACTTTCAGAGCTTCCTGAAGGATCGGCCAGAACTCAAGAAATGCAAAACTGGCTTGATGGACTCCCTCGGGCCAACCGAGACACCCTCATTCACATGTTGTCACATTTGCTCACGTAAGTTGGATCTTCATTGCAATCGATTCTCATGTTTCATAGTGTCACTTATCACCCCGATAGAAGATTTTATCACAGTATTGTCAACTAAACACAGTCAAACTTGCCAAGAACATCAATCCTAGCCTAGTTGGAAAATAATTCAAGGTACATCCTAACTAAATACTAAAAAAACGTCTATATTCGCAAATCAATTTGGTTTTCACGGGAGACTCAATTGAATATCTCGTTTATGATGTCCTCCAACTGAATGTGCTGCACACAGGCCGTGAAAACCAAATTGATTTGCAAATGAGTGTATTTCTCGAAAACAGTGCAATTTGGGTTCAGGTAGATCATAAGTTTGACGGAAACCCGGGGACCACGCCTACCTGATGAGCCCCAAGAAGGGCGAAACCGGTCGTGGGCTGTCGAAAAGTTTTCAGCAACCTTGTGAGNCGTGGGCTGTCAAAGAGTTTTCAGCAACCTTGTGAGTAGTTTCCTTCATGAAAACGTCTACATTTTCAACTACATTAAATGCCCGAGTCCACAACTGAAAGCTCGCTAGTTATGTGTCTCGGTTTTTTTTTATTTCGAAGTTGCGCGATTGCTTTACTGTAAACCGCATTCAACAATTTGATATGCACAGTATGGTTTCGTCAACTGATTGCGTTTACAACACTCCGGGAATATTTTCGTAGAAAGGAATTATCTCTGAACTGATCCTATTCCGAGGGCAAACTACTCACAAGTTTTAAGCAAACTCTTCGACAGACCACAGCCGGTTTCACCCTTCTTGGAGCTCATCGAGTAGGCGAAGTACCCGAATTTTCGTCAACCTTATGTTCTACTTTGACTGATCGCGACGAATGCGCTCATTGACAAATCAACTTGGTTTTCACGGGAGACTTGACTGAGTCTCTCGTCTATGATATTCTTCAACTGAATGTGCTGCAAAAGACCGCGATATTCGGGATATCGTAGTATAGTTTCACAAAGGAAACTACTAATGTAACCCTTTTAGCAAGAGAACGCACCAGACTTGACGTGGTTTTCTGTGGAATCCGTGAACGGGCACCACAGTGCATAGGCAAGATTCTCCTGACAGACACATTCGGCAACTGGTGCAGGGGAGCAAACCAGAAGGACATATTGCTTGATAGTATGTAGTCTTGGCTATCGCTGACTCTGAACGACCTTACTCAAATGACGAAACAAGGGAATGGTGGTTTGGGTTGTACACTGCTTCTTCTGAGCCCACCAATACACGGTCACTTTTGACGTACAACCCAGCTTCGTTCCTCTCTTTGCTTTATCAACAGTGTGATGCGGTATAGCGATGTGAATAAGATGGATAAAGGAAACTTGTCACTGTTATGGTCCTCGGTGTTTTTCTCTCCATTGTCCAACCTGAACGGAGAGTTGCGCCCGTCATCAAATGCCAGCAAGAATTTGGAGATGGAAGTCGCGGGGGCGTTCCAAAGCACAAAAGCACTACATTGTCTACTTGGGGCCGCTGAGGATCGGCGACTCACTCTTTCCACTGCTGTGAATGAAGTCAGGATTTGACCGATGCTCTATAAAGCCCCATGTTTTGTTGTACCTCATATAGCGGCTTTTGGAGGCTGAAATCCTATATCCTCATATGTGTGTATATAGACTTGACTCACAGGAGTAAAACTGGTGTTTGGTTTTTCTCCCACCGGCCGCTAAGGCGCACTCATCAATTCTGTATTCACAATCCATCAATTCGTGAACCCGTCTGGTTTTCGTGCTCAAATTCACTCCGTCCGTTCTGTTCATCATTTCCATACCAGCGTCAAGAATGTTTTTATAACCCCGTTTTGCAGTAGCTGAATGATCTGAAGTACATCGAGAAGGAATAAGTAGGGTTATCCTTCAATGTAATACAGTACACGTTTCCGAACTTTGTTGCTCATATAGAATAAACTCAAGATTAAAGTAGATCGTCCAATGAGCGAAAAAATCGATTTGATTTGGACTGTCTGAAAGAAAAATAGATCATGCCAGCGGGACGTAACTGTGGCTGGAATGCTAAAGCTTTTGATGAAGTATTTGTCGGGTAGTCATCCGGATAACCAAAACTTTTCATCTCATGAGGATCGCTGATCTTTGAAGAGCAAGAGTGAGAATGAATACCGCCAATCATGAAGTCACTTAGTTGTTAGGACTTCGACGAAAGTTCCTGCATAGGAACATACGTCCATGTTTCTCGTAGAATGAATTATTTCATAATATGACAAATTCTTAGTGTACTTCTTTCCAAAACCTGAGACTTTATTAATTCGTTTACCAAATATATCAAGTGGCACCATACAAACTGGCTCATAACCACCGTATATGAAGCCCTCGCTGAAGACGGGAGTTTCCTCTTCATCCACATGTTTATAGGTTACTGTTTCGCTAGTTCTCTACCATACTCTCAATGTGAAATAATCAGCTGGATCAGATGTATAGACGCAATACACTACTCATAAGTTTGCTGAAAATTCTTTGACACTGTACGACCATTTTCGCTCTTCTTGGGGCTCATCAGGAAGGCGCAATCCCCAAGTCTCCGTCCATCCTATGTTCTACTTGAAAACCCCATAACCGAGAGGTTCAGCTGGGTTTTAGGTGAGTCTCCCACAAAAACAAACCTGGAAGTTACTCAAGCAGGCTTCGCAACATGACTGCAGTGTGATCACCGTAAAGATTTCGATAGTGCTCAAGGCGAAAATCTTGGGATTTAATGCGGGTGTGTAGTGCGGCTACGTATTGTGCAAAGTTGCGATCTCAGTACTTTGCTTGATGCTTGTTGCAGAGGGAATTTCTCTCGAACTGTCATCACCGTTCTCCGAAACCATGTGGAGCAAAGCGACCGGTGGTGAATGTTTGTATGTCACGTGTTATGCGATCCACAGTTGTCCTCGGCTAGATGATGCACTCAATTTTGGGTATTCAGCTGAAAGTTCGGCATTTAGTTTTTAGTTCAGTGAGGTGTTCATGCTTGCTGGAGACAGATATCTGTGCCCTACTTTGAGGCAACATTTGTTCACGGAAGGTTGCATGGATTAGGTCTCTTTGTTCCGGCTGTACCAAGAGAACTTTTTAGATTTCGAGCATAGCAGTGATTCTCCCAAGAAGCGAAGATTTATTCTGCCATCTAGGTGGATATCACTTTCAGACTGCTGAGTAATCCAGTTGAGCCTCAAGAAGGGAACTATCAGGTACAGTTTTGAAATTCTTTGCAACGCAACACCTTCCAGTCCACGGACCTAGAGTATAAATGGAAGAAATTAGAGGAAATGTGAGGGACAGAGTAACCGGAATTGATCAGCCGGAAATGAATTGATTGTTAGACAAAATTTACAGCCAGTGGCAGAGAGATGTAGATGAATCAAGGCCTAAAGTGAACCTTCAACTATAAATGGGCCGTCACGCTTCGTAGTTTAAGACGGACATAGGTTGTGTCCCCAGCGATTAATGAGCCTTCAGAGGAGGTACAGTCTATGAACTCTACCGCCCGGGTTTCATGAGCTTATAAGCAGTGTATTTACATTGCACGCCCAGCGGACACTAAACCACTCTCAACGGAACTGCATATATTCGGACGGGATGATCTGGTCACGTCATCATCGACAGCATAAGATGAGTATTCTGGTATTGGCGATGATACAGAGACCTTAGCTAGATAAGTTTTCTTCTAATAGAGCCGACCAGAAGAGACGTAAACCGTAGTAATTACTGACATTTCCTTGTCCGGGAAATTCCAAGACTGGATAGGAATAGTGAGATATAGGTGATCTTTCCCCATGGATTCAGTATAACTAAAAGTTACCAAACAGAAAAGCGTGGATTTCGGTTGAGAAGCCAAGGTCATGGATTTCGAATCTCTCCATCCTAGAGTTCACTCAGTGGGCTTCTTTCCAAGCTTTCGTCAACATTACTGAGCAACCGAACATCGGATTTGAATCACGTGGAGCTAAACACTCACTCGTGGTTAGAGTTGATGTGAACGGGAAATCCAATCGAATCTCCCATGTTTCGCATTCCACAAAGGTTTATCAAAATACTTCAGTTGGAACAATTTTCCTGGCACTGGGATATTTTCCAGTGTACAAGACGTTCGAATATTCTGTAACATTTTATGAGGACAGTGAAGAGACGACAGATTTGTGTCAGCCATTAATTAAGGTACAAGTGGGTAATGGTGGCTACCTTCTCCTCGGATGAGGACCTCTGGACTCGGCGATGGCTGTCACGCATCCAAAAGCAATCTTGCAATCTACTCACAGGGTTGCTGAAAACTCTTCGACAGTCCATGACCGGTTTCGCCCTTCTTGGGGCTTATCAAGTAGGCGCAGTCCCCGACTTTCCGTCAACCTTATGTTCTACTTGAACCCAAATTGTACTGTTTTCGAGGAATACTCATTTGCAAATCAACTAGGTTTTTAACGAGAGACTCAACTGAATCTCTCGTTTATGACATCCTACAACTGAATGTGCTGCACAAAGCACGCCGCACGATTCAGTTGGCACGATATCCAAGACATCGCAGTATGTTTTCATGCAAGAAAATATTTAGAAGGTCGCTGAATACCCTTCGGGCGCTTCACGAAAATATACTGCGGTATCTCGAATATCATGCCAACTAAAACGTGAAACAGCCTGTGTGCAGCTCATTCAGCTGTAGAATATCATAAACGAGAGATTCAGGTGAATCTCTTGTGGAAACCAAATTGATTTTAAATTAGTGTATTTCCCGAAGACTGATGGAACTTCTGGCAAGGAAGCACAAAATAGCCCAGTGTGACCTCGACCTGTGACGAAACGTTCGCAGGGTAGTTGTCATGATCAACAGAACAACCATATTCGTTTATCAACTTCAGGCTGTTCATTTCCGGATCCGAGCGGTTTGAGCCGAATTGAAGGATCCAAATGAAGACCTGTATGGAACTTCATACTCAAGTTGATTCAATTATCAGCAAACGCAATTTTCGTGTATCACTTCCTGCTCGTTTAGTTTGAAACCGACCCAGAATAAAAGCCTCCGAGTCCGGCAGTATCTGAGATGTGCTCACAATTAACAACAGTAATGTGCGCTAATGTACACAGCTATACGGCAGCACTCAAGAAAGTGTTAACCGAAAACTGGCTAACTTAATACAACTAACAATCGGAAAGATTCCTCATCGGATAGACAAGGTCCTCTCTCGGGAATGAGGGACAGGAATACTGGACGACACTGGTCGTCACTGGAGTTCTACAGTTGGTTTGCATCATTCCCATTGTTCTGCCTCTGAAGCTGTCCGCAACTCTCTGAGTGTTGTTCCACAGGCGCTTACTGTTGCAATTCACCGTCTTTCATAACTTTTTCTTGGAATGTCCGGAAGCCCCATCCCTGGTTCTGGGATTCTCGTCCGATCACCAAAGTGATACTAACAAGCACTGTCACCGAGCCATCAGATTCATCGTTTAATATCAGGCGCTGCCAGTCTCTGACTTCTCTGTCAAAACGGTATTTTGCCAATTGAGAGTTGGGCATGACTATTCAAAGAGATATTTACCGATTTCACTCAAGTTCGATTACTCCCAGAAACGTGAATCTTATTTGAATAAAGGTTGTACAGCGAAGGGGGGTAATTCACTCGAATAATGCTCGCCAATAAAATGGGACTCGAACTTGAGCACAAGGAAAGATGACAAAATTTTTCGTTTGTATCTCAACCTCAATCAACGAGTAAGGTATGACAAACTTTTATATTTATATGCAAAAAATACCTGAAGACTTTTTTAATTCCAAAGACATTCAATAAATTGACTAAATTCATTACCGCCAACGTTTTCAATCAACTTGTGATCAAATGTTTACGCAACTATAATAGTTATATCAATTAAAATGGTTTTGAAGAATTATCTTGGGTTTAACGGTTAAATTACAATGTTCACTCAGTGAATTTCGATGTGCTTTATCATACTAAATCGATGACCTTACGCGGCAATGAATTTAGCTTTCCGCTAGTGAGTTTGTTTTAATAAAAGCATCTTTCAAACTTCACTTCAGTACATTTTATCTAGGAGGGAATAGATAGGTTGTGTAGAAACTTGCAAGATATTTAGATGAACGAAAAACGGAACGACGACGAATTGCAACGCTTGGGTTCATTATGACATAATACCGACGTCACCACGATTTGTAACGAAATGTTTGCTCCTTAGGCGTTCAGCTTAACGAAGCGAACTAACGAGCGACAATGAAGCCTGGGCTGGCGAGATTCTTCTCAGGTATCAAGGAATTGCTGGTCGCTACTAAATTAGACTGCGGTTGTTCGGTTGGTGGAGCGCTCCTCCGAAAATCGAAGGGTAGAGATTCAGGACTCGTTAAAACAGTCTTTCCACTGAGCTGGACAATTTGATTGCAAACGTTTCATCACCAATCGAAGTGATATCATCAATGCGTTGTCAGGGCGCGTAGTGGTGCGTAGCGATGGCTTGGTGGTTTTGCGTTGAGTAGTGTTGCGTGTGTGTTTATATACGTGATGCTAACCGAGGCTGACCTTTGATCACGATTAGTTGATCGGTCGGACGGTTCCATTGGTTGTCCCGTTATCCTGCGTCCTGATTCGCCAACACTCGTGTGACCTTTGAACTTGGCATCCCCTCCTCTGTCCCTGGCCCTTCCGAGTTAGGGCTTGTGAACTTTATTGATCTGCCACCAAGGGATTCCTAATTTCTTTGTTTGTGGATCCAATATTCGGTTCTCATTGGGTAGTCCGGTTGAGATGTTGGCCCTTTGCAAGTGGTGGTGCGTAAATTGGGTCCAGTTCAATGCATCGGTTGATCGAATCCACCCGAAATTCCCTTCTGTGTCTCGCGTGCCAGAACTTCTGCGTCGGGCTTTGTGTATGGATAGGGGATAGGATAGAGCAGCCAATGGAACCGCTCGACCGAATAACCAATCGTGATCAAAGAACAGCCTCGGCTAGCAGCACTTATATTAACCCACACGCAACACTACTCAACGCACAACCACTGACCAACCGCTACACGCCACTACGCGCTCTAACAACGCACTGATGATGTCATCTCGATTGGTGATGAAACGTTAGCAATCAAATTGCCCAGCTCAGCGAACAAGCCAACCAGCACCATCTACGCTACCTGAGCTGAGCTACCTTTCCTCCATAGAAAAGTCATTTTGCTTGAATTGTCTATTCAAGCTCATTCCATTTCCGTCTATCATATATCGAACAATCAAAACGTGGAAAAAAATTTCCTGTTCTCTCAGCCAATGCAAGCGGCTCGCCAGTCTATTTTTGTGCGAATACACAAATCTTTCCAAAACATCAATTCAATACTAAACACAGTTAGTTGGAGTGCCAGTTGATCAAAAATAAACTGTTCAGGTTTCCTAGCAGTGATCAAAATAGCCACCCCGAACATCGACGTTACCAATAGGCACTCTTAACAAACACATTGTAAAAAAAGGTGAACGCAATTTTCCACTGACCTCCAAACAGTCGATCAGGTGGAAATAGGTCATCATGAGAGGGCATTTAGAAGTACCTCAAGATGCAGGAATGATAAATCGCCAAGTCAAAGAGAAAATCAAGTGGCTTTGTGCCAGGCCTCGCATCGGAGAATCAGTAACATCAGTCAGTGCTCATAAATGATTGGACCAATTTTCCGGTCGATCAGTGCATTCGCAACCAATCAAATTCCCCCATTTCTTTCGAATCAGGGTCAGTCGATATAGTGAAAATAACAAGATGGATGCGGGGAATTTGGCTCTCCTTTGGTCCGCAGCTCTATTCCCACCGCTACCTCAACTTAGCGAAATACGAGTTGAAAAGTCGCCGACCGAAGAGATTGACATCCACATGGAGGCAGCACTAGTTTTTCAAAAAACGAAATCGATTACCGCGTTAATGCGAGCAGTTGCAGAAGGGGATATTCAGCGTTGCGAACAACACGGTGAAACAGAGTCCAGATGACCGAACCCAGGTTTGTCCACCAGGTACGAGTCGACGTCAGTTGTTTTTCTACACATTTTCCAAACTCCTGTTTCACATGATACCCAATTATTCGCAGCTACTGCGCTCTGAGCTGAGCCTTGTTCATTTCATTCGTCCACATTTAAGAAACACACCGCATAACTAATCTCTGCTCTTTCGCCACATTCATTTGAGCAACCTATGACAACCTGTTCTAAGATTCTTTTTCTTGGTTGGGTCGAAAAGAATTCATTGTACATTCCTGTTACGTTTTCTTGGCCAGACAACATGATGTCACGTCCGCCCCGCCAGATCCTACTTTTTCAAGCGTAATCTCCGTAATGTTAGTGATAAAATGCTGAGAGCCTACCGTATAAAAACTACTTTTCTCCGAAAATCTCGGAGAGGCTCAGGGTACAGAACTTACGTCCAGTTAGCATAGGCGAGGGGGTCCGGACGGGGTCCTGCTGGCTCCCAGCCTGACACATCTTTGAACGCATGTGACATGGCACACCGACAAATGAAAAGGAAGAACCAATTACTGTTGCTGGATGCATCTGCACTGAACACACGACAATTCACACTTTCAAAACATCTAGCGAAATCTACTCATTCGCATACCTGATGAGCCTCAAGACGGGCAAAATTGATCGTGGGATGACAAAGGGTTTTCAGCAACCTTATGCGTAGCGCATGACGTTCATACAATCTAGCCGCTTAACTCAATTCTTTGAATTAGAGGGAGAGGACATCCTGTGGGATGAAAGGGGTTTCGGTAATACTGGTCGACCGGGGGAAATGATACGATAGACACAGGGTGGCTAAATAGGGGGTACTGTTGAACGTTTGACTGCAAACTTACGGAAATAAAGCTTGCTCAACTTTAAATTCATTACAAAAAACTAAAATGCTTTTCGAACGGCTTTAGAGCCGTCCGACACCCTGCGAGGGCCCTGGAAACGTGGCAGTGATATCTTACCTTTCCTGTAGTGTAGGGCGACAGAACACAGAAAAAAAAGATATTATTTTGTACCTCTTAATTTCTGAATAACAGGCATGTAGGTTATCCGAATGGGTACCAGCAGGTAGCTTGAAGTCGCCCATGATGAGCACACCCGGGTCATCGAAACAGCGCCCAAGATCCTATTCATTAAACTACTCGATCAGTAGTATCTAGAAAAAATTTGCAGAGTAGATACGAGGGGACGAGATGGCTCAAGTGGTTAGAGCGCGGGAACTTACTGACCGGAAGGTTCGTGGTTCGAATCCAACCTCTGCCTCTCGACATTCCCCTTTCTAGGCTTGGGCAACCTGACAGTATCCCAGCCCTCGTGCTTCCTTCGGGTAGCATGGCAACTAGGCACCGAAAGGGCTCTACAGCTGAAGGATTAGAGTAAATGTGAGGCCAGGAGAACGCGAAAACTTGTTTGTCCTGCAATGCGGCTACGCTACACTTACGATCTCATATGAAGACATTGGACTAACATGTCACGATGCGACATGAGACAGTCCGTCACTTGTCCTTTATAATGAAGTTCGATCAACTTGGATCCCCCTTAGAATAGAGACTGCTCAGCTCAGAGTTAGCGCCAGAAGTCCCATGTACTACTGAACCTCATCGACGATTATGCAATGCGATTTTCCATTACCAAGAGGTCAAGTATTCCTCCTTTTGTCATTTTACAAGTCTTTGTGGGTTTTTTTGGAGTTGATCCGCTGGGCCGAAAATGAAGGTAGCCGTATAATTCGGTCCGGGTCACTTCGCGTTGTTCTTCGACTTTTTTTGCCTTTTGGAGACTAATGGTCCTAAACTGGGGACCAATGGTTGCAGTTCGTCGCCAATGCGAATTCCAGAATGTCATGCACCGAAAACCAGGCGGTTGTGAAATTTCGTGGTAGAATGTCATCCAGAAGGGTACAAAACAAATTGACGTATGGATCCAACCACCTGAGTTGTAAGCAATACCACCGAGTGTGTTAATAGTCAGTGAGCACCAGTTTGACAAGTCCAAATTCCGAATACGGGCTTCAGGACCACTGACCTTTCGGCGATGTTAGTCTCTTCATTTCCAAGGCTGCGAGCGAGGATGCAATAAATTGAAAAGATAGAAAAGTGCACAACCCGAATAAATAAAAAAGTCCACTGACCTCACAAACGATGTCTGCTATGCTGGAAGCTGTAGCACCCTTTCGGTGCCTAACTGTCGTGTCACCCGAAGGTTGCCTGAGGGTTGGGATGGTGCCTAGACACAGGGGAAGTCGAGAGGTGGGGGTCGGGTTCGAACCATGGACATTTCGGTCAGTAAATTCGCGCTCTAGCCACTTGGACCATCTCGCCCCCGCTGGAAGCTGGGCAGCTTGAACCACTGTACGACAAGCACGCGTTTGTTTTTTGTAGATGATGCCGCTGGAATGAATCGCCTGCAACGGACCTGTCTTGCTACCAGGATTCAAAAGAAATTCCACTTTGATAAACCGGACATTTGGAAATAGTGAAGATATAATACCCGCAAAAGAAACATCAAGTCCAGCTGGGTAGTATTGTGTACGTATGTCTTAAAAACCAGAAAGTTCGCAAGATTCTAATGCGTTGGAATAATCGAAATGGTCACTCTTTGCCAAGGGAGTGAGATAGCTCAGCGGTTAGAGCGTGAATTTAATGATTGGAAGGTCCGTGGTTCGAACCCCACCTCTGCCTCTCGACTTCCCCTGTGCTTCCCTCGGGTGGCATGGCAGCCGGAAGAATGTTACAGCTGAGCGATCTGTTTTTTTACTAATGAGCAGGAATTCGGACATCGTAAGAAAACCAACACACTACTAACGGGAATGCCTCACAGCGAATTGCACAGAGACAACGAGAATGCAAGAACCTTCAAGGGAATCCTCAAAGAACCTACGCCTCTGAATAGTGCTCAGTCGAGCGTTTTCCATTGTGTAATCCGCCTTCGGCTCCTTCATGAATCAACTCGCCGAATTCTTAGTCCAAATCTGGTCTCGTCAATATCTTGACTCGAGCCTCTCCATTCTCAGTTCACAGTAAAAACCAAATCAGCCTTCAGGCAGTAGACTTTTCTCCCGTTGAATGCCCTCCGATATGTCTAGATTTCCGCCTCCGTCTCAGTCCAATATAAGTTGGCTGATCCAACGTGACGGGATAGAAACCAGTTTTGGATGAGGTCATGGGTTTGAACCTTTACTCTAAACAACCGATCACTTCCTCCGTCCGAGGCAGAAATGAGAGAAAATAACAATTGCTCCATCGCTCCTCGATGACGTCTAGCACGGGCGCTTCGTTCAAGAGTTTTCATACAAAGTGCCTCAGACATTGGTTATTCTGTGTCAACGAGGACACCCTGTTCGTTCGGGGAAAGCAACTAGAAAAGAGTCTGTAACAAGACTAGAAAAATCTGTCTTAAATGACTAACCCCTGATAGGGTCTCCCATCAGCAGGTCACTGTTGGTGACTAAGATTGCTTATCGATGAACCAGACACAAAAAATTATTGGCACTCGTATGAGACAGAAATAGCTGGCCCAGAGTCTTTTCGCTTTGAAATGTGTAATTTGGTCAGGACTCTGAAGCGTATAACCCGACAGTGGAAGAATGACACCTGCCTCTAGTTGCAGCGTGGAGAACAAAATGGTCTGCTCCAACAGGACAACGCAACGGTTCGAAACCCATCGAGGAATGGTATCTGACCCGACAGGTGAAGATATTTCACCAGACTAATTAAAAATTTTATTTCAACTCGGACAGACAATTACGTCCCCTCTCGGACACGGCCAACGACCAGTCAAGTATTATCACACCGAGACTTGTCACGAGTGAACTTCAAGTGACTAGCGGGCAGTTTTCAGCGTACGACACTGGAAGGTGCTTCACAGCATCTGTTCACGGCGAAAGGAGTGAGACAGAATGCAGTATGGCCCCTTGATGCACAGAATGAGTAGTCGCTTCAAAGGCGAATGAGCAGAGATCGCTCAAAATCTAGTGTGGGGACAAATGTACATGTAGTTACCTACGCCATGGTACCTTAATTATCTAAAATCTACCACGTTAATGTATGAATTTGTGTGATAAACCTAGTATGTTTCCCACATTTGTGTTCGCTTTCAAGAAAGAGAACGAGTCCCCATCATACGAGTTCAACAGAGAATTACGGGGTAAGAAGTCCCCCAAACGGGGATGTTCACTCTTGAAGAGTCACTCCACGTACAAAAACAAAAATCCAGAAGTCAACTAAACTGCATAAATACAGTGGTCGCGGACAAAAAGCATGCGCAACTGGGATCATGAAGAGGCTGGTAACCGTTCTATGCAAAAACCAAGTAGCAGTGGCAGTAAAATCACAGCCTTAGAAAAAATTGCAGCGTGTTCCGAAGTAGGGAGGGGGGGGCGAGAAAGCACAATATGGACACATCTACGAGCAGGAAGCACCCCCTGAGCGGATAGGGGGTGAAAACAGGTACAAAATATGTGGTTTATTGTAGGTTTGGGGATACATTTACACCGGGCTGTTCAATTTGTTCCGCCTGAGTGGGTCCTGGAACGATCCAGTGAAAATTGGGAGTGTCTTCGCACGGTCCTAAAACATGGCATAAGAGTAATGAAAGACGGATACGATCAGTCCAATGCAACAAGACACGTCTGACTTGAAAGCTCAATAGTGACGTACCTTGCAGTATGGGACTGAAGGTCCATGAATGTGGATAAAAACACGCGGGTTCAGCCAAGTTTCTAGTAGAACTCGAACTGAGTAGCGTTCATATGCTGAAGTTCGGTCAATGTTGCTGTGGTGACAGGCAACCTCGGCCGGATTAAAGTCGAGTGAGAAACCCTGATGCAAGAACATCCTCATCGTCACAACTGTTCACCTTCATCATTCCTTTGCCCAAGGAGCTGCACCACCCAAGGATTGGTTGTAAACAGTGCGACGGTATCCAATCCCTTTGATTCTTGTATATTTTGTAAAACACTGAGGATACCGCTCCAAGAAAACACAAGGATCTTCAGTCCAAAAAGGGTTAGTCCGTGTCTTAAATATAGCTGTTGTTCGGTTGGAACGAGGCACTGTAAGCTCTTGATCCTTTGAGGATGCCAGCTACCACTGTGCATCCGGGGTCATATCGGATGGTTATCCCAAGGTTTTGTGTGGAAAGCTATTCTGACAAATAAATTCCCGGTTCGGTTTTGAAGTGCACTAGGAGCGTGTTGGCTTTCAGGCCAGAGGACAAGTCATAAACTAGGCGTCTGTGGCAAGTAGCTTAAAGCCAAATTTTCGATGGAATTTCTGGTACAATGCTCTCCCGGAAAATGAGTTCCCCAGAAAGTAAGCAACATAATCGGGAAGAGACCCCCAAGAAGTCGGTGAATGTGGACAGGTCGTTGCGAACAGATTTCTGATCCATCAACACCAGATTCTTGTGGTTTTCAAAGGATATACTCATGGTTCACGTGTACCGTCTGACACGGAAGTCGTGTCCGATCAAGTTTTCTACACTTCTCCGACACGAAAACCCCTCCATCGGTCCCGAGTGCATAGAAAAACGCTCCTAAAACTAACGAAAACTAATCATACCAATTTTATGGCGAGGCGTAAACCGTTATGACCTTGAAATCACAACGGTAAGGAAGGCCGGCGCAGGAATTGGGCGTGACCCAGTAAATGTGCTCATAGAATAGATCAGTCGCTGTAAGGCAGTTCAGCATAGCATTTCAAAAACAGCAAAATTTCGACAACACGGCAGCCCCGTCCCACGAGAAAATACTTTCGTCGAAGAGATCATAATGGCTGAGGTACGTCAAATGGTCTTAGGATGAAGGAACTCTTACTCACGCTTTATAGGCTGTGCTGGTTGGGTCATGTACTTCGCATGCCAGTTTTGTTGGGGGTCAGTATCCCCAAAAACAGTTTATTTTTCGATTTCCTGCCAAATTATCTTTCTAAAATTTTGAATTTTAAGATTTCGCGCCCTTTCCGCCATGTTGCACCTCAATTCAAAAGACCGCGCCCTGGTCCTATTGGCCAGTTATACTTTGTGTGCGCTAACCGATTTATCGCTTCCCAAGGTCACCCGATATATATATATATACGACGTTGTTCCAGCTATAAACCGTTGAGGCAGACCTTCCTACGAAGGTCTGGTCTTCTTCTTTTTGCACTAAGAGTGGTGGGGCTCGCATCATAGCTGGGATCTGTGCGCTCGTTCTCAGATCGCGTAGAGCCGTTGATCGAACCCGCTTCTGAACATAACTTGCCCGTTTGCCGGTGGTCGAAACTGTAGCAGCTGGAACCAATGTGCTTATGGCACACGGTTTATAACTGATAAATTGACCAATTATGGCAGACGGAATTCGCATCCTCGGCAACCTACTGGAGAATCCAACAATCAAAACGAATAAGATGCATTTCCCACTATCAAGAAGTAAACAACACTATAGAAATGTCCTGTGGACTTGGGGAGACTATCTGGTCGGGTATGGACGGCGAACCTTGCGAGCACAACTGAGAAGCCAACTCGATACATAAGAGGTATCCCTTTGATTGAGTTCAAAGCGGATTGGTCGATGTGTAAGCACAAAATCGTCTGTGCAGATTGATGGTGATAAAACTGGAACAAAACAGGTGGCGCAACTATCTATAACAGATGATCTGTTCCGCCATAAGCTCAACAAGGGGGCGAGATGGTTCAAGTGGTTAGAGCGCGAATCTACTGACTGGAATGTCGGTGGTTCGAACCCGACCTCTGCCTCTCGACTTCTCCTGTCTAGGCTTGGGCAATCTGTCAGTATCCCAGCCTTCGTGCAACCTTCGGGTGACATGGCAGCGAGGAACCGAAACGGTGCTGCAGCTGGACGATGCATTCAATGTGGAAAGTGTTTTGGTAGCCACTGAAATGTACATCCTCGAGACATCCGGTTGAAGAGCAGGATGAGTGGATCCCACACGTACGTTCCCATAATATCTGCCTTAGAAATATACGTACATATGCTGCGGATATAATACAAAAGTCGACTTAACTTGTCTGCTCGGTTCGTCGGCTTTGCTCAGACACTTTATTTACGTACTGATGATTGGAAAATGGCCAAAGTTTGACATGAATGCACGACGCATGCTGGAGAGAGTGTACGCTGAAGGCGGCGATCAGTCTTTCTGACTAGTCCAGTAAGTCATCCGAAGAGGGGATGTAAGAATTCTCCAAAACATCATCCATAATCTTAATTTTGAAGAAATCAGCAAAAGCGGTAATGGTTCGGTTGCTTCGCCGCTGAGGTCAAGAAGCACGCTCATCAACCAATGAAACCACACAGACAAGTGGTACGAATAACTTACGTAGTGTGAGTTGCGCACTCCTCAGGTCCGATACAGTAAGGCACTTGGCTGTTGCCCGATGGATTAGTTTCTGTGGAACAGAAAGTGGAAGAATAGATCACGTAGAAGAATATCGAATACGGGCTCTACCAGCAGCTATTACTATTGTACATATAGTTACACGGGACAATTCGAGAGGAATATTCAAAATAACGTCCTGAAATACCCTAAAATAGTATTCGCGGGAAGAAGAGATCCACTTTAACAACTCCCATTCCCCCGCCAAAGCGCACAGGAAGACAATCGGGCGGGAAAGTCGATCGTGTTTCTGTGCCCTAACGCATGTTTTCGGTATAGATTATCTTTCCAACCTGACGAACCCTTTCACTGAAAAGAGACAGAGGCATCCCCAAGTGTGACATGGAACCTCCATGAGGAGAAGTATATGGAAAAGAAGGATTGGTGGACGTTCCACGGCCGGAAAATGAATCACCACGACAGGCGGAAACAACCTGGTCTTATCGACCTTCCGTTAAAAAAGCGTCTGCTTCCTCAAGATCTGACTGCGGGAGATATGACACAGTAGTTAGAGAGCGAATTTACTGACCGGAGGGTCCGCGATTCGAACCCCCACCTCTGCCTCTCGACTGCCCCTGCCTGGGCTTGGGAAACCTGGCAGTATCCCAGCCCTCGTGCTTCCTTCGGATGGCACGGCAGCTAGACACCGTGTGTTACAGCTGAACGATTATTGGGATCTGATTAGACGAATGAAATAACTGTAGGGAAATTATTCCATACGTCAACAGTCTGATCAAAGGCATCCATGGCTAGCATAGAAAAACTCATTGTAGGGGTAGGTGATACAGAATCTGTAACACGACTAGCTAATAACCCTCCAAATCTAGAGGAAAGCCTGTCGACCAAT